TCATACTTGCACAAAGACGAAAAAAAAGAAAAAATTAGTTTATTTAAAAACCCTATTTATACAGATCGGTTACTTGGACGAGAACGTAAAGAAAATTTACAAACCTCAAGCCCTTTAATGTTGGCATGATGAAAACCAGAGGTGTATACATAGTATCTTTAAAGTGTCGTTGATGCTATTGGGATTGCAATAGTTAAAAATGTTATAACGATCATCGTTTATCAATGTCACCTACAAGATTATCGTACCTCGACCGTTGTGATCTCTCTGCATAATATGAACCTGGAAAAATTAAAAAAGTGTGTATAAATCATAAGTAACATAGATGTAAATTTGGTTCAATAAAAGAGAAATTTGAAAGTACTTTCTCAGGAGCACTTAAGCCAGTAGGAGGAGAGAAGGTTTCAAGTGGCATATCTTCAGAAGGTTCAGCTACTCTGGTGTAGCAGCTGGTGACTCCGGCATGGCTCACGGTATAGAGACTTAGCAACACAACGACAAAGAAAAGAATGGCTAAAAGTATTATACTTTGTAAATCTTTGTCTTAGGTGATCGATTTTTATGTAAGTTAAATAATTAAGATATATTCTACATAGATTTTGTTCGAAAGAAAATCAGCTACAAAATATAAATTTATGGGAACAAAGAAATGATTCTCAAAATTATTCACGTATAAACTTTTTAACAAAAAAAAATTTCACATATAAGAGAATTGCCTCTAAATCTTGCGACATTTTGACAAAAAAAAACTTGGAATACAAACCTATCTCTAAAAATAATCGTTAAATATATTTTTAGAATTTTTTATTTATTTTAACAATTTTTGGTATTAGTGTTTTCTAAGAATCTTTGAAGATCATGACAAATAAATAAAATAAACTTATATAGTTGCTAACTTACATGAAACAAGTATAATTATCTTTCTCCTGTTTATATTTTTTTCTTGTTTGCTAATGAATCTTTTTATATTCAACTACGGTGTGATCCACACATATGTGCGCTACGCACAAACATGGTCACTAATTTTCTATACTGTTATTTCATTTTTCTGAGTCTTGTAGTTAATTAAATTATCTATATCAGCTTAAGATATGTGTATTTATTTATTTATTGGTTTTATTGTAATGTTTTAAAATGAGAAATTTACAAATTATATCACTTTCTGAGTTTAGTTTACATAAAATATCACTTTCTGCTACTATAACACTTTTTCAGCTTTTACATTGGCTAGATTACAATTCTATCCTTGTCAATTACACATAATTACAAATAAAAATAAAAAGTCACACTTTCTCTCTTTTGTCTTTTTTTCTTTGCGACTATAGTATATTTTATTTCTTTATATTTTTTCTCTTTCGTCTCTTTCCTCAAACTTATATTTCTCATATTTATTTTGTTTATTTTCTTTTCATAAAAAAATAATTTTGTAATTATTTTCACACTATCAGTTATATCTATTTTATGTCTATATTTTGATACCTATTTTATAATAGTTTACATAATTATATAATTTATATATATTATATATAAAAAAATACACATATACATATAGTGTGTACATGTATACCATATTATCGTGAAACAGCATGTATGTTCATGTAATTGCATCCACGTGTACCATATTATCGTGGAGCAGCATGTATGTTCATGTAATTGCATCCACATGTACCATATGTGCGTGAATACGTTTACATGTCCATGTAATTTCGTGCACATGGACCACATGTTCGTGGATACGTCTAAATATGGATGCATGTACGTATCCACATGGACACAACTATATAACTGTATATACGTTTTATCTAATTATACGTATTACATATACGTAAACTATTGAAAAATGATACTCAAAATATAGATACAAAAGAGATATAACTGATAGTGTAAAATAACTATGATATTATTTTTTAAAAACAAGAAAATAAACTAAATAAAATATAGAGAATATAAGTGTGAGGAAAAGAGAGGAAAGAAAAAAAAAATGTCGTCAGAAAAAGGGAGACAAGAGAGAGAGTATGACTTTTTATTTTTAATTTGATTTATCTTTAGCCCAAAACTTACAAAAAAAAATAAAAGAAGGATCAAATTATAATCTAGCTAATGTAAAAGCTGAAAAAATGTTATAGTAGCAGAAAGTGATATTCTGTGTAATAAAAAGATATAAAGTGATATAATTTGTAAATGTCTCTTTTAAAATTTATGATCATTTAGTGAATACACATTTTTACTTGTTTGTATTAGTTGAATAAATTCATTGTAGTTTAATTGTATAGTAATTTTATATATCTTTATACATATGATTTTTTAAATTTAAGAGAAAAAATACTATCCATATTCATTTTTACATAAAATATATCATAAATGTTATATATATGTTATTGCTCTTAAGTCAAACAATTTAATTGTATAATTTAATAGAGATAATATATTAAAACAAAAATGCCAAATAGCCCAATAGAAGGAGAATAAAACATTCTTTCTCATATACATGTTTGATCTTTTTTATTGTTTGTTCTCTTTTAGGGCCATCAATCTGATTTTTTTATACGTGTTTTCTCTTTATTGCATTGACTGATTGCTATATGTTTCTTTCATATATTTACATCTGTGATTGCTATTTGTTTGTCTTACTTCATTCGTTATTTTGGACAAACTGTTTTTAGTTAGCTGGTTTCATCATTTTTTGTTAATACATGTTTATTTTTGTTATATATAGGAATGGTCTGGTGCTAAAAAAATAAAAAATGAAGTTGATTCCCAATATGGATTTGTTTGAAGGGGAATTTGGTGTTATTAATGTCACTTGGACAAAAAAGTTGGCGTGCTCAACAAGGAGAAGGTAGTTTAAATTCTAGAGTGAATGGAGAAAATGAAGATGTAGTTGATTCTGTGGATATAGATATGCAAGTGCTAGAGACACAAACCCAAAATTCAGTGAAACAAAATCAAGCTGGAAGTTCAAGAACAAAAGAAGGCATAGAGAAAAAGATACTATTACAAAAAAAAAGTGAATATTATTATAATTTTTTGTCATATATATATATATATATATATATTTACCTTTTTTCTTACTGAGCCCGTTACAAATTGTTACAAAATTAGAAATATGAAAAACCATTAAATTTTAGTCACAAACAGTTACCAAAAATTTCTATTTTAATTATAACCATATTTTCTTTAAAAATAAATAATTTACAATAAAACATAAAACTAAAATATAATAAGCAAATAAGAAAATTTCTTAACAAACTAACATCGAAAACAAAGTTAATAATTAATATATGAACACAATTTAAAGGAAATAATCTTAATAAAATACAAACTAAACAGTACTAAAGATAAATAGAAACATAGATTCAAGCTTTTTCTGACTTGCAAAAGACTCAACAATTTTTTCCATAGATTCAAGTCTTTTCTGAATTTGCAGATTTTTTTTCAAAGCTTTGTTTCAGTTCAGCTTCCAACTCTTACAGGCGATGTGTTATCATCTCTGTTTATTCAGAAGGTTATGGTTGACTTGGAGAGGAATCAACATGGTAAAACATCACTTAGTGCTCCAAGTCCAAAAATATAGCCTTGTTTAGATGACCCACAGCAGCAGTTGCAGCCTAGAGCAAAAGACCCAAAAAAAAAAAAACAATTAAAGGCTATGAAAACTTATTTTGTCCACACCAAAACAAATGTTAAATCAAGCATACAAAATAAATTTCTGCACAACCTTAAACCAGATCTCATACCATACTCAACCTAAACATATAAGGCACCACGAAAGCCAATTTCGTAACAGTCGTCAAATTTCAATTAGTTTCACTAATATACGATATAAACCATTTACAGTTTGAAAAAACATTATGCTAGAACGAAAGACATAAAAAAAATGACAAAAGACTAATTGCAATTATCTGATCTCAAAAAAATATAAAACTAATATAAATTTCATTTTTCTCATGTTGGTCAAGATTTTCAGCTGTCATGTTTTATTCACTAGAAGATACATTTGTTCCAAGCGCCCTTATACATGCATATAAGATTCTGCAATCAAACATGCTTGTTGATCAACATGTATGTTCCATCAGGTTTCTAATGTACTTTCTTCATCAAACAATAAAGGAGTAGTTTTCATGTTTGCTTCCTGCAAACAAAATAATAAAATAAAGTGAAACAATACAAATAAATAGTCACAAATGGAAATTAGCAATGAGAAAAAAATACATTACCAAAACATCTTGAACTTTAGCACAGGAATGTGAACCCAATAGGTGAGAATGTGAATCCAAAACATTGCGATCAAACAGTCGAGAAGCACATGCCTTCTCACTATTTGTTTTTGCTTTTAGTGTTGCCCGACACGCCAGCATAATGGTCCAATACTCTGACAAAATACATTCTGATTTTTCTAGACAAAATCCATTCTGGTTTTCTCCTTCTTTCTTTGCATTGTTTATCATTCCTCTGAGGCAATAAGCAGCAAGCTTATTAAACTCGCTTTCAACTTGATCGTTGATATCAGCATATCAGTTAAATTTTCTCTAAAAAAAAAGTATATCAGACATGATGAGTTACACTGAAAATAATTTATGAAATATAACAAAGTATATATTCCTTTCTCAGGTTGAACTAATTGACTACATTACTACTGGAAAACTAATTAACCACATTAGTCCTATAGGAAACAAGTAAGCCAGGGAACAAAGAATACCTTAAACAAATTAAACCATATTCGTTTTTAGAATGGTGGAACTCTTTTCCAAGAGTATTATGGTCCTTTAAAACAACTTTGAATGATCTTTCTGACAGCCGTTGATACTTAGGTGTAGTTTTAATACTTAGGTGAAATAGATTACTTAAATGAAGTATAAATCTGTGAAAATAATCTATAGTATTTAAGAAAATATTCATACCATTTCGCTCCATTTTGATGACCAGGATGCATCAAGGGTAAAGTTGTATGATCCACATATGACTCTTCCATATCTACACAATAAACACATGAAAATCACTATCCCGGAATATGAGTGGTGATATAACAGAATGGTTGGCAAATAAGCTTTTTATGGTATATTTAATATCAATTGTCACTGTTCATGGAAAAATCTTTTAAAACCGAAGGAAGAAAAAAAATGAGAAAATAACATGATGATGAAAAAATATTAAATCAGCAGAGATCAATAAAACCCTTAAGAGAGAAATTAAGATTCAAGAGAGGAATACATATACGGATTCAACTCTAGCTTAACTTCTAAAAATCCAGAATAATGTAGATCTACCTTCCAATGAGACCTCAGAACTGAAACACAGATTAATAGCTTCAACTAAAAAGCAAGGGACGAATGGTTTTGATAGGTAGTGAGGGAGATGGATAAATATTTTTGACTTTTTTTGCAGGGCTTCTCAATCAGTGGGAGAAATTTTGGCAAAACTTAAAGCGGCTAAGGAAATACGAGGAGGTGTATAAAAATTAATAGCATTTCAATATATTAAAATTTTAAAAATACGTTAACTTTTTCTGGTAACTTAAACAAATTGATTATTTAGGAAATAATATAAAGAAGAATATTTATATATCTTGTTCTGGAAAGTTATATAAATTGTTAGCTTATCATCTTCTCCTGCTCATCTATATATAACAAGAATAAAATAAATGATTACTATGACAAATTCAACAATTTGTCACAAACTATATGCTATATATGTGACAAGAGCATTGAAAGAACTGACGAAAACCATAAACTTGAAAACAATATGAAACAACATATGAATGCTAAAAAAGTGATCATATTTTTTATTACTTATCAATTCTCAAAAAGGACGAAAAACAATCATACATTCTAAAACTAAGAGAGTAAGAAAACATGTTACTTTGTCTCATGCATCATAGTATTTTGAAACATCTGAACCGTACAAAACATTTTATTCATCTGTGACATATACTTAACTAGAAAGGAGCTAGCATATTCCATTCATTCATTACTCTTATTCACTACTACTGCAGTAGATATTAGTTTATATTAAAGTCCAATAACCTCAAAGCTGGTGAAAGAGAGAAATGCATTGCACATAGTATCTATGACACAAAAGGCAAACTAAGTCGAAAACTGCAAACAAGTAAAAAAATTTGAGATAAAGATAGGAGGCTCGCAGCACCCTGAATAGTGGTGATGGCTCAGAAAAGAGTTCTGGTTTTGTAGCTTGAATCACACCAGTGTTGTGACTCTTGAAGATAGGGAGCATCACACAGGTTGTAAAACCTTTGCTCAAAGTAGGGATCTCTTCTTGTAGGGTGATCCATGTTTGAGAGATCTGAATCGAAGAAAAAAAACGAAAAGAAAAAGAAAAAAAATTATCTATGAATTGGTATTACTTCCTACGAAGTTTGGCAGAAGCAAGAACAAATCTTTCCGAAGCAACGACACCAAAAACTTGATGCTGCTAGAGTTAGAGGTAGCGGGTGAAGTTTTAAATTTGTAGAACCCTAGTGACTACAAGTGCACATCAATGCAATATAGTACTTAGAATGTCGATCCATAAGAAGAGTTGTCTTTTCTGCAAAACTTCAAACGAGGATTAGTTAACAATTCAAAGACTCAAGGGGGTTTTATAGGGTTTTGGTGTCACAAGAAAAAAAAGTAAAATCAATTGGTAAAACAAAAAACTATAAAACTAAATTGATATGGCTAGGAAGTAAAACGAAAGTTGGGCTGACAGGGATATCTTAGGGGATGTTCGATTATGCTAGGGTTCTAAGCTCTTAAAATTCGTTTCTAGTAATCTACATAGAACTAGAAAACATATAGGTATGATCAGCTTTTTGTCGCGTAACTAACAAACTAATCACTCAAACTCGACCAATAGCTTTCGTCTCTGGCCACAAGAAAGATCATGCAATATCATACAAGTTTCATCTTTGCTCACGATACTCTATAGGTAGCTTTCGTCTCCTATAGAGACTTCATTCTTCTGAAGTTATGTCTAGACGAATAATACAACACTACGTGACTTAATCATCCTAGGATCAGTTGTTAGTTTTTAACTCTAACTCCATACAATATGAACAATTTAGAAGAGATGAGATCTAGAATATGACTAAGAAAACAACAGTCCTAATTTAACATAGGATTTAGGGTTTAGGGTTTAGGGTTTCAATGAATCCTTTAAACCCAACAACTAAACTACTTACACATAATTAAAGAAAGCATAAACATAAAAGAAGATTGCATAAAACTAAATAGATAGATGAAAAGAATAACAAGTGTTCAAGAAAAAGATTTTTATCTCCCTAACCTAAAAAAAAACTAAGAAACAAAAGTTTGGTGCTAATGTATATGCTGGCACACCAGAGGATACAACAATATATCTCCTAAAACATTTATTTATAGGTCTTCAAGTCTTCTAGGTCGTCCTTCGGGTTTTCTCTGAAGAGAATGCAAAATGAGCTTGAAGTTGGGCTTTAGTGCCGAGATAAGGCTGGCCGAGGGTCAAGACTCTCCAGGACTGATAAAATGATGTTCCACAGCAGCTGTAAGCTCAGAAGCGTGGTCAGGCCTGTGTTTTCCGTGGCTTGGATGCAAGTCGGGATAGTTGACGGGACATCTTCGTTTCCACGTATCTTTTGATTTTACTGTTGGATTGTTCTCAAGTAAAGTTTAATGGAAAGTCAGCTGGCTCCTCTTGAATGTCTCCAAATTTTAGTTGGATCAGATGGTGAAAAGGTGTTCATTTGAGACTGAACTTCTGATGGTTTGACACTGCTTCTTACTTAATCTGAAAAAGTCTTGAAACTACAAATATAGGAAATCGTAATAAAACACTTGAAATTACTTAAGAAATGACTTTTAAAAACAGGTAAAACATGATGTTATCAATAATTGGAAAATAGGTTTTTAAGTTTTACTTTTTACCATACTATGTTTAATATTGTGAATGGTATGTACTCGGCGGAATCACGTTTTCAAAACATAAAAAAAGACTACATCATTCAAGTCCATAATCGAAAAAAAAATCAAAATTCAAAATATTTATAACCAAATCTTAATCATAAAAGTTAAAGATTTTAAAATTTTTAAAAAATTAAAATAAAAAATAAAAGAAAAACTTACCCTATACAGTAAACTTAAAAAATAAAGGATAAAATAATTATTTCTTTATTTAGATTAAAGAAATCAAACATTGGATTATTATTTGGCTCACGTTTCACGAAAAAAATCACTATACGGGATCGATGTTGTCAATGGGAATTCATTCAGCCATTTGTGTTATGTGGAGAACCAAATGATACAAGAGACTACGTCTTTTCCGCTAGCCTGTTTTATTTCATGATGTGCTCCATTTTAAGCTCTAGGCTACTTGGATCAAGAATAAATCTGAACTTGCTCATCACAATGAAACTAGTATAGCAAGTTGCGACTTACGAGTTTTGGAAAGAAAGACGCTGATATGTTCATAAATACATCATATTTTAGAGTCCAAATCATGTCTTTTCTCATACATTTTAGGTCCTTAGGCATTAATTTAGACCTTAAGGTTTGCATTAGGTCCAAAAGAGCTTTGCATGGTTTGGAGTCTTTATCAGGTGATTTGGAGGTTGTTTGGAGTTCAAGAGGTGTTGAAACGGTGAAGAAAAGGGTTAAAAATGGTGAAAATGGTAAAAACGAATTTCTCAGCAAAAGCATGTACCGGCTGGATCAGTTTTACCGGCTAAAAATGCTATCGGGTGACCTCTCTCGGCAAAAAATCAGTATCGGATGAAAATGCTGTCGGGTGAAGTTATATGCCGAGACAGGAGACTTTTATTGGCTAAAAAGCTTGCCGTGGTATGCAATTCTCGGATATTTTCCTTACCGCGGGAAGCATTTTTAGGCTAAAACCTGTTTGCACCTGCGCGCACCAAAGATTGCCAATCCGGGGAAGCTTCTGGTCTGAATCAGTTAACGGGGTCTTTATCAAAGTTGGAGTTACTGAATTCGGAGCAGTGAGCAGAGAGATATCGCCACCAGGAGACACACTTGTCTCGCATGCATTCTAAGCCGATCCAATGAGCTTCAAAGATTACGAGGGATGATGTATACAGGCCTCGGTGTCGCTCCCTTGCTAAGGTCCAGACCTCATGCTAACCCCTCGATGTATCAAGACCGGGGCACACATGCTGAAGAAACGAAGCCGAAAATGACTAAGTGTTGAAGCCAGACCTCGACTTCAAGACCTCGGTATTGCACGTCGGACCTCATCTCCCTTGATCCCTTGACTACCAAGTCCCTCGGCGTGTCTATGCCGAGGTCCCTTGTCCCGAACCCAGATTCAAGAACAAAGCTGATCTAACGAGTGCACGTGAAGATGAATCAAATACTAGGGTTCAAGCATGTTCTTGGTGAGTTCTTCATGAGTTCTTCATTTCGATCTTTGCTCACGTGCACCCCTCAACGTTTACACCTTGGCATAGAACTCTAACACACCGAGTGTAACACCCCCGACTCGGTCTAGATCCAAGTGCAATGACCGACCGTGCAATAATCAAACAAGAATATGCACAACACACCGTTCGAACCCAAATTGGATCGACGATGCTACTTTTGCGCGCATAGACTGATGGCCCGAGGTTCTTAGCCGTGCACAAATCAAACAACAACATGCACGTCCAAGAGCCCAAGGTTGACGTCCGCACACGCTTTTCCTACCAAACACGTCTCCCAGCTTTTCAACCTGAGACGTGTCTGATAGTTCATCCCGGACAAAGTCTAGTATCATTCGAAAACCGAGCTTTATAAAAACATACTTTTATTACTTTGTCTGTTACACAATGGCACCCCTAAGAAAACATTATATCGAAAAAAACTTAAATCATATTTGGTTTTGCAAAAGGCATGAAATCTACACCAACGACCCTAAACTTCTCCGTCCCAATTGGCTACCCGCTATGGTCACCTGCAAAACAAATAGAGTCGTGAGCAACTAATTGCTCAGTGAGTTCGGTTCTCCTAACCGTTTAAGTAATAACCCAAAAATCCCAAACATCACGCAAAACACGCATCATGCAACATCAACAACAAGTACATTTGATGCATGATAATACATACTTATTATATATGCA